CTTCAGTTGCAGTTTCAGCTGTAGTTTCAGCTGTAGACCGTGCTGTCTCCAGTTCTTGAACGACGAGCTCGTTCTGTTCATTATTTGAAATCTGTTCGGCTTCTGTAGAATTTTCATAATCATTCTCTATAGATATAATACTGGTATCCAGTGTACTTTCAGTTTGTCTCAAGTTTGTGGATGAATCTATGAACGACATCTGTTCAGCCCATTGCCAATTAGCAAGCTTCTTCGCGGCTTGTCCACTGCTTGTTTGCTGACCCTGTTTATATTTTTTATAAGTGTCCCTTAGGTTTCTCCATTTATTTTTCATAGTTTTAACTGTAACAATATTTCAGGTTTTTAGCAACTGGTGACACATACACAACAATATCTTTCTCTTATCGTATGGGTGAATGCACCGTTTCAAAGATAGTAACTCAAGTATGCGAACAAATTTGGAAGATACTACAGCCAGAGTACATCCCGGTTCCTTCTACTTAAACATGGTTGGAAATAGCTAAAGCATTTCAAACAATATGGGGTTTTCCTAATTGCCTCGGGAGTATTGACGGCAAGCATATTGTTATTAAATGTCCACCTAACAGCGGCTCACTGTTCTATTGCTATAAAAACGATTTTCTACTGTGTTATTGGCAATAGTAGATCCACATTACAAATTTACTTACATAGATGTAGGATCATATGGTAAAGATTCCGATAGTACAATATTTGAGAACTCATCATTTTATCAGCTTTTAAAAAGTGGACGGGTCTGAATTTGCCAGCTCCAAAACCTTTGCCAGGTTTCCAACAGACTACACCACATTCATTCACTCATTGCAGATGGAGGATTTAAATTAGAAACCTTTCTAATGAGACCTTTCACTAGAGACGCAGCAATGAATGACAATGATAAAAAAAGATTTAATAAATCATTAAGTAGGGCACGAGTAGTAGTAGAATGTGCGTTTGGCATTTTAGCACAAAAATTTAGAATATTCTTGAGGCCCTTTGAAACAGATTTGAATAATACTATTAAAATTGTTAAAGCTGCAGTATGCTTGCATAACTTATTGCAGATACAAGAAGGTGCACACACATACGAAAATAAACAATTTTCGGACACTTTAAGAGCATTCGTACCAATGCATGCCAATAGACATAAGGCAGACTTAGCAGCGTTTAATGTTCGATCACAATTTGTAAATTATTTCAAAGAAAATTAAAAACATAAAATGTATGCCTGTATGAAATATAAACAATAAATTTCTTACCATCTATCCGAGTCTTTTCTTGAAGTTTTCTCCATGCTACCTCTTTTTTGTACGTATTTTTATAATCTGCGTGTCCAATTGCGTATAATACGGGATAATCTCGAATAGAATGCAAAAATAATTCAGTATTTTCGGCATCCATGGCGCGAAAATCTGTCCTCACCGACAGAACGCGAGCTGACGCTTTACGATGCGAAACATCACTAGCGAAACGTATGCGTCTGTGTAACGGCCATTTCGCAGGTCCTTGCGAAACAATACTGACAAGGACGCAACTATTTCATCTATCTATGTGCTAGAGTGAGACATATCATATGCGAAAACCTGCCACACTACTTACAGTTTTTTTCGTTGTTTCGCTACCGCATACGAATGCGTAGGTGTACTAAAGGCGTTAATGGTTATATATTTTTAAAGTAATTTTTGGTGGCAAGAGTAGTTAAAAGCAAAAAGGTTTATACTTGTTTGTTTAAGAGAAAATAAATATCGTCTCAATTATGCCCAAGTGTTTAACATAATATGGATAATATCATGCAAGTTAGTCAAATATTAATACTCCACATTATCTATTTTTCCTTTTTATTCTTTTGTGGTCGCATGGTAAAATTGCCAATGACATTAGAAATTGGAAAATGAAAACTAATGTGTTTAGTTAATTAATATAAGTGTATGTGTAATACAAAAGTTTACTTTTACACCTAGAATTTTGGAAAATCTAAATACGATCTATAATTCATGATGTTAAAAGTGATAAAGTATTTAAGTTTTATGTCATTAGTAAAATTTAAATTAAGTTATTCTTTGCCGCAATATAATTTTCTAATGTCATACGATGGCCACCGCCATAATTTGCCGAGACTCGCATGGCGAGTCGTCGGCCTTATGGATGAGGAGGATATATCTCTCGTTGCGAGTCCCTGGCAGTAAAAATGAGGAATTTGCATCTAAATGCATATTTGCCCATTTTAAGGTGTTAGAAGCGAAATTTACCGAGTAAAAAGATTTCAAACTAGTTCTGGAAATTAAACTTCTTCGTTGCTAACCAAAAAAAATTTGAATAAACACTCCGGTTGTTTTTTAACAAGGGTAAGTAAAAATATACTTTTGGCTGAAGTAGATTTTTTACACAAATTTATGTGTGCGCCAGAATGGTGGGAGCCACTTCTTTTACTGCAAAATAATAAATATATTGGAATAAATCCTTTGTGATCGTCATTTCGTACTTGTAGGAACAAGTCTGTTCTTGTTTTTTTATTTTTAAAGAATTATTTTTCTATACGATACTTGTTTTTAGAGGTACACAAGAGGTACCAAATAATAACGTAGAGTCTAATCCAATATTTTTATTATTTTACTGTAACTTCACTTTCTTACGAACACATTTTACGGATCTGCACAAATTCAACAATAATACCTTCATTATAGAAACTAGAAATGTTTATTCTGAGTTGGAAAATATGTTTACGGAATATGGATCTTTGCCAAACAAAACTAGGGTGTCAAATGATAGCCAGGAAACCTTTTGTGATACGCAAGAGAATCTACCAGATTCTCAGCCTGTTGACGGGTCATACTACTCCGAAGAAAAACACCAGGAGACCTTCTGTAATATACCAGAGGATCTACCCGATTCTCAGCCTGACGATAGTTCATACTACTCCGAAGAAAGTAAAAAATATATGCATAAAGCTGTCACATAAAAAAGTTACAATAGAAATGGATACTATGACGGGATTCCAACATTGCAGCATAAATCCAGAAAAGGAATCTCAATGCAACGAATATTTTGGGAAAATAGTGGCATTAGAGATGGCAAAATTTTACGGAAGCACACGTTATAACAAGATGAAAGAAATATTTAAAATATTGAAAGAAAAAACTACCTAATTGATATAATTCTTTGGTAAACAAAATGATTCACAAAATGTTTCAACATAATAGTGATTGTTTAAAAAAGTACATAAATGATCGTCTCGGAGGTATACTATGCGTCACGTAAAAAAACCGCTGGCGACGTACTTGCGCAGAGCGCGATTTGTATGCGCAGACTGCGCAGATAATTCGCACAGCGTTTGTTTTAGGTGACGGCTTCTGTACCTGTAATTAGGTTTCAAATTAATAAATGATACATGAGTCTAAGACTTTATATTTTATATATTTTAATCAAAATGAACATAAGTCAGTTTTTCTAGTTAGGAGTTGTCACCGCCTTGAAAATCAAAAAAAAAAACTAATAAGTAATTCTAATATCTATGGTATTCTCTGAAACAACCTATGCAAAAACAAGGCTTCTCGAGACAGTCGTTACAAAAAATATACTACGTAAAAATTTTCTACGTGGTAGAGCCATGCTGCAGCTATATTATGGTTGTAGCACGAATGGGTCGGCTCGACCGGGGAAGGACCACGCTCTCACAGAAAACCAGCGTAAAATAGCAGCTTAACGCTACTGTGTTTCGTATGGTGAGTGTAGAGAACCGGAGATCCTTTTTACTGGCAAAGAGGCATTCCATCTTAGTCCTCACGGGTGACAACGCATCTGCATCTTGAGTCCTTATTGAGGATAGATGTAGATGTCTATGGGTCACAGTAACCACTTATCATCAGGTGGACTGTGTGCTCGTTTGTTACTAGATCCTATAAAAAAAAAAATATACTCTGTACTCTCTTTTTTGCTACCTTCCAGCGCTGGGCACATCTTCGTCTTTTAGTGTGGCCTCTGTGATCTTTTGGAAAATTAGATGGCAAATGCACTCGAGACGTAAATGGTAGGCTTAATTCAACATAAGAGACTTTTAATAACGCTTAATTTGAAATCATATTGGGTCATTTTGTGCCTGATATCTGCTCTGTATAATAAATATGCATTTATTATCATAAAGTAAAGTAAAGTAAAGTTGCAGCCTATTTACGTCCCTCTGCTGGGCACAGGCCTCCTCTCATTTCTGAGAGGGTTAAATTATTATCATAATTTCCAACAAATGGATTATTACTTTTTTGTACCATATAAGACTTTTGTGTTCACAACTATAATAAGCCATCATCTGGAGGTCTACTCTAATTCAACGAAAAACGAAATTTCGATCGAAATTTCGCTCAATTCCTACCATGGTTCCATTCGATTCGAAACTTCGTTGAAACGAAATTAGTTTGACGTTTAAATTCTCTAAGCCTACTCTATTGCACTAAAGTTACGAACGAAAATTGAAGTTTGACAGATACTTGTTCGTAATTTTAACCTCAAATTGACGAAACCAAAAGTGTTAACTTTTTATTTTCGTTTTGGTCGATTTTGTTAAAAATTTAACTAAAATGGCTACGAGACAGCTTTTAATCGCGGCTGCTTTACGTGAAGAACGATTGGAGCGTAGAAGGAACCGGCGCCGCCTGCGTAATCAATTAAATATTTCAAATATTCCCGATCTAGAGTTTGTCGGAAATTACAGACTCAGTCGGGAATTATTCGAGGAGTTGTGCCAGGACATAGGGTTAAAATTTCCAATATGGACCATCGATATTTGAGGTTTTGGAGGGGGGGGAGGGGGGGAGAGGGCTACCCAAATATGCCATCCCCACCCTGCGGAACTCCATGGTTATGGAGATATTCATGGTTAAAGTTTTGAGGTTAGAATAGCACTATTTAGTTAAATAGAATGATTTTGATGATGTTTTTAGTGTCTGATGAAAAAAGGGGGTAAGGGGGGGGGGTAAATGAACTAGATCAAATGAAGAATAAAGTAAACTTTATTTTATTTTATATAAATGTTTAATTGCACGTATTAGCTCTTCAAATGGATCTAAATGGTTTGTCATTATTTTTCTTCTCCACGAGTACTCGCACAACCAATCCGTAAAATTAAGCTTGTTTTGTTGTTGTCTAAATTGTTTTTTTAAACCTCTCCACTGGCTCTCAATGCGCTGCGTGTGTGTCCCGTCTGGTGCCACAAATTTCTCAGTTGGTTCGCTATGATTTACTCTTTTATGAATATATCCATGCTCAGGAAGGCTCAGATATGCTTTCCAATAATCTGTGTGAATGATGGAGCCTTCCTGAACATGTTTTTTTATGAGTGGCACCAATATGTCCGCAGACCTTTTATTATCAGGACACACCTCAAGCCGCAGATCGTCATTGCCATCTTCGATCATGCCAATCACCCAATGTCCTTCAATGTGTCTCCCACGGTTATATTTCCTTTTTCCAAATTTAGACTCATCTATTTGAACCACTTTATTAGGGCCCCCTATCTTCCCTTGGGCCCTTTGATTTTCTAATTCAAAAATGGAAATTGTTTCCCTGCAATAACTGAACCAGTCAGCCACAGTTCTGGCTGAAACTACTGGGCCGTCATCACAGGCTAGCTCCTTCCTTGTTTGGTGGTAAGATAGTCCCTCACAAAATGCATACATCATTTGAAAAATTAAAGTGAGGGACAAGTGTGCGTTCTCAAACCAGGTCCCAATAGAACGGGAGACTGTTTTAGTGCGGCAGTTGCTTTTCCGGCATCTAAATTTTCCAACTTGCCCTGATGATTTTATCAAAATCATTGACTTCCGGTGGTATCTGCAGATTTTGTCTACTGGGATGAGTCCTCTCTCCTCCGCAAACTGAATACACTGTTCGCGTGTACCCAATTTAGAGAAGATTTTTCTCCAGTTCCACATGGATCTGAATAAAAGAAAAGGTATTATAAATATATTATAATATTCTGCTTTTTGGGGGCTGGTTCTCCACAAATAAAATATATACAAATTGCATTGTGAAGTGAAAACAGGACAAATTTTTCTCCATTTTTCTGCTATAAATTTTATTTTAAAATCCACTGCAGCCCTTATGCAATCTAACTTTGTTAAAATTCCAGTAAGCAAATTAAAAATATGACTAATTATACGCCCTTTTATAACCTGACCGGTCGTGCTTTAGTTTACGGTCGCACGCGGAGGGGGTGGGGAGGGGGTTGGGGGTGGGGTAGTGGTGAACGCCCCCCTAAAAGGGGGGGATGCGGAAACGTATAGTTTCTGAAATATATTAAAAAATCTATCCTAACCTATAAAATATTGATTTCTTTAAATCAAGTGGGGAGGAGGCTCTAATCTTCTCTCATCTTCTCTCTACCCCATCTGACGCTTTACATTCGACCTTCTTACTTACAGGGGTTCGATTCTGGGGCTGATCTATGTTCAACGGACACAATTCTTACCAAACCTGATGTGTCGCCAGTTTTGTTCTGGCCTGAACTCATATATATATATATATATATATATATATATATATATATATATTTTATATTACATAGAGAACTATGTAGGCACAAATAAAACAAAAGAGTAAATATAAATTCTTTATTTAAATTTATAAACAAAGTTTATGGCCTCTATAAGTGATAAAAATAAATCTTTTTTATTTCTTTGTATTCTTCGTCTCCACATATATTCTACAATACTATCGGAAAAATCTTTAGGGTTATTTATGTTATGTTTATAATACTTTTTAACGACACGCCACTGTGCCTCAATCCTTTGTGTATGAGTTCCATCTGGAGCAACAAAAGGATTGTCTGGGTCCGAGTGATTCACCTTTTTATGGATGTATCCATAAGAACCCAGACAAACATATGCACGCCAGCAGTCCGTATGTATAATTGACCCCTCAATCACATGCTTCTGGATCAGGGGCACCAACACTTCTGCTGAGCGCACATTCTCCGGGCAAACTTCTAGCCGAAGGTCTTCACTCCCATCTTCAATAAGTCCACGGACCCAATGGCCTTCAATGTGTCGTCCTAGAACAAATCACAAAAATATTATTTAAAAAACAATTCAAATATAAATAATATCCGTCTCCATGAACTCGGTTTCGCCTTAAACATTTTGTATATCAATATATATTGTTTACCTACCAAGCTAGGTCAATTGACTCCTGCTATGTAGGGCCAGTATTTCTGGGTGGTTATAAAAAAAATAACCACGAAGGTTAAGGCGGGAGCTTTGCTCTTCTTTGCTAACCTTCTAACCTAATCTGTCCGAGTCGGATTGCTCTGAATCGGGCTGTCAAACATGATATCAAAAAACTTAACCAACTTAAAAGACCATTAAAAAATATAAATACCTTTGTTATATTTTCTCTTTCCAAATTTGCTTTCATCGATTTGGACCACCTTGCCAGGGCCACCAATTTTATCTATTTTTTTTTGTACATTTATCTGATATATAACTACTGTCTCACGACAGTAGCTATACCAGTCGGCTATTGTTGCCATTGAGAGGCAGCCTTCCGTATCTCTCTCCGGATCCTCAAATATTACATTGTCATATGACCATCGGTGGGCAAAGGCGTACATTAAGAAGTAGACACGCAGCATCGATAACTTCACGTTTTCGAACCACGTGTCCTTAGCTCGAGAAACTTTCGAGCGTGTCCGACAGTTGCCTTTAGTGCATATAAATTGGCCAACATTCTTACAATTCCCATATGAAATTCGCATCGGGATGCGATGATGGCGGCACATTTTATTTTTAGGGATCAGGCCATGTTCTTCTGCAAACTCCACACATTGCTCCCGAGTTTGTAGCTTTTTGAAAAGCATGGTCCAATTCGGCATTTTTATTAATTCTTCCGCGTGCGACCTCCTATGCTCGTATACTCCGTCGGTATAAACAGCCTCAGTCTCGGTTGATGATGAAGCGCGCGCGTCACAAACGGCACTAGTTGACGGCTGAGGGTTGTCTGCCATCTCAAATAAAAAAAAGATCCGTATATGAAAGCAAGGGTCGTCGTTCGTGTAAGGTTCGTAGTCCAAATACAATGCCAGGTAAAATCGTCAAAACAGGTACAAGTCACAAGGTACAATGAAAGGGTCAGGTTGGGAGCAAATAACGAAACAAATCTCACGCACAAAAAACAACGACGCCAAGAGCACAAAGGCAATGGAATGAACAATTCTATAACATTGACAGCCAGTGTTTCCTTTTTTTTTAAAGCAAAGATTTACCATATACAGCCAAAAAAATTTTTAGGTCTGAAATAACACGCGGTAAAAGGAGATGCAACCATTATGTTGTCTCTTTCTAATGCTTTAGAATGTCATTATGTAAATGTCAAGGGCCGAAAGCCAAAACAATACTGTTCCATACGATTCCTAGTAGTTAACCTATAAAACTTAAAAAATTAATTTCTCGAAAACTATAAGTTTCCTCAGAAAATCCTTCTAGCATTTACTTCAATGATCTGTTACCTACCTATTAAAATTAAAATTATCACGAAAATCGTGCGACCGTAAACTAAAGCACAGCCCGAGTAAGGATTAAGCCTTCTGCCAGATGACCCGGTTAGTCTGGGCATCGCAGCAGCAAATTCCTCGCCCTCGTCCTCCGAAGAACTAGTTATAGCTGATAGGCTACCACAAGAACCAGCTGCTCCACTGGGACCAGTCACCCCACTAGGACCAGCAACCGGTTCGTCAAGGACCGAGGATCGCACACACGGGAGCCCAAGTGGCTCATTTGAGTCCAACACTTGCACTTGCGTAGTAGTAGGCACAAGCGGCTCCATTGAGTCCAACACTCGCGCACTACTTGAAGACGGCACAGAAGAGGAGGCCGTGACAAGCGGCTCATTTGAGTCCAACACTCGCACTTCACTCAACTCTTCAGACACAGAAGCATGGGGCTTCGGAGACGCCATGGTAGTCAAACGTTGTATGCTTACAGGAGTACGTAAAACGATCTCAACTGCAAGGGCAACAGGTGACTAACGGTGACTGGACGCTATTAAACAAAATGGCCGTTGGTATCGTTAGTGATTCGCAAACAGTATCGATACCTGAGTAATATCGATACTTCCAATTCAATACCAAGTATTTTTGTACTCGATACACTTTTTACGACTTTTGAGTAGATATCGATACTTTCTGAAGTAATATTTACTTTAGAACAAGATTCTGTTTAAAGTAAAAATAATTGGATGGACTACGATTTACAAATGCTGATTTTAAATTGAAACGTAAAACTCAAATACAACGATAACACTAGATCTAGAATCCATTTTAAGAGAAAAGAAAATCTCCTTCGTCATAAAAAGTAGGGTGACTGATTCAGATGGATTTCTTTATCTATTTGGAGACTGCTACGTCTCCGGCGCTGCGGGAAGAGCAGCCTCTACGCCTTTGCGTAACAAATCACAGGCATCCCTCCTCGCCTCCGCAGCTTCGGCTTGTTGGTCGCCGAAGGCGATTTGTTACAGCAGGCGGAGGCTGCTCCCCCTACGCGCCTCCGGCTTTTTAAAACCACTCTAGGGGTAGGACAGACTAGTACCACGTGGAGTCGGGGTCAACCAATTCGGTTCTTTGACATAAGTTGAACCTAACCTATTTTATTTGTTATCTACCCTAATAGGTACTGTTAAAATAAAACAAATTTGAATAATCAAGTCGATGTTGCTAGTAGGAGGTCGTCCTATAACACTTTTGCATATCTTTCTTTGAGGTAAATTTGTGTTCACGAACGCAATTTAACATTAACGAAATGTACTCGATACCAAGTAGTATTGATACTTTTCATGCGATACTTGGTATCGAGTAGGTATCGATACTTTCAAAATCTTCGGAACCCTACACTAATTGAAACGTGAAGTGATTGACGTTTGACATAATTTGTAATTACGTGTTATTTGCCAATTTGTATGAAAAGTTAAAAAAAATATATCTCATGAACCGTAAGTTTCCGCAACCTAAAACTTTGCAAAACGGTTTCTTTTAGTGAGTACTATCTACAAAAAAAATATGGGCATTTAAATCGATGGTCCATATTGGAAATTTTATCCACTTACTGCTTTGAACTTTTATGCCCGAGGAAGTTACCAGGGGTCAGTGGGACAAAATATGGATGGGCCCATGGCACAACAGACAGTGTCCCGTTGTTTACAAGAGGTAACAACTGCACTTAATGCACCCCACATACTAAGGAAGCACATAAGATTCCCACAAAATAGGAATGAAAGGAATCTTATTAAGCAGAAGTAAGTACTTACCTTCCTATCTAGTATTGACCGTTAAACTTATTAACATGTGAAATACCTAGTAATTAAAATATTATTCTGTTATTTTAAATGAACAATTTACATAAAAAGTGTGCCAAGACTAGGCAAATAAGTCATGCAAAAACAAATATAATTTTATTGTACAATTTACTATTCTATAATAATATTGTATCCTTATTGTAGATTTTATGATAAATATGGGCTACCCGCTGTGGTGGGGTGCATCGATTGTTCACATGTAGCCATAGTGAGGCCTTCGGAGCACGAGGAACGATATTTTAATCGAAAACATTTTCATTCGATTAATACTCAAGTTGTAAGTTTATGTACAATATTTTAATGTTTTTATTATGACATTCACTATTTTATTACTTACATTTTATCCTATGTTACATTGATGGAAATTCTTTTTCAGATATGTGACAGTGATTTATTAATTACAAATGTTGATGCTTCATATGGTGGAGCAACTCACGACGCTTATATTTGGAGGGAATGTGAGATAAGAAACCACTTGGAGGGTCTCCAGGATGAAACAGTTTATCTATTAGGCATGTCTTGATTTATAGTTTTGATATTCATTATGTGTAAGTAATGTGATGATGCAATTTACACTAATATTATATTTTTAAATTTTTAGGTGATTCTGGTTATGCTCTAAGGGAGCATATGATGACACCTGTAGATAATGCTGTTGAGAACTCTCCAGAGGGAAGGTACAATTACCTCCAAAAACGTGTACGCTGCACCATAGAACGCACATTTGGTGTATTGAAGGGTCGATGGAGATGTCTTTTGGCAGCTAGGGAACTCCATTACTGCCCAGAAACAGCAGGTAAAATTATATTAGCCTGCTGTGTTTTACACAACATGTGTATAAGGGCTGGTATTGAAGGTCCCGAGTTGACTGAAGAGGAACACCAATCGGAGAGAACCCGGCAGGTTCCCTTTGAAACAGCCGCATCTTCTACTCAAGCTCTACAGGCAGGTCGAAGGGCAAGGAATTCATTAATACAAATGTTAGAAAGGAACCGGTAAGATAAACTCAAACCAAACAATTGTGCAAGTAGATTAAAATAAACTCAATTAAAAACTTTTTTTGTTTTAGGAGATAATCATCATCATCATCATATCAGCCACATTTAAGCCGTTTATTTGTGATTAAGTAACAATCAAAATCCATACTTTCTCATTTATAATATTATAGGATTAGGAATTAATATTACTGAAATGTATGGCACTCACTTCTTACCTAAAACATACACTTCTTATCTTGTTATAATTGTAAGCAATGCGTTTTTTTTAATGTTAACTTTTATGTCTAATGAATTTAGTTAATATTGCATATTGTACAACATTATCTATTTAGGTATGAATTTTCGAGTAGGTACCTAGTAGACAGTGATTTCTCAACTAGTTGAAAGGTATTTGCTCTTACCTTTCCGATGTGTAGATAATTAATTTCAATACCTGCCCATTGTATGTAAACTTTTGTTAATTTTTGTGATGTAAAATTACATTACCTTAAAGGTCATTTTACAAATTTGATGACTGTATGAAATATACAAGGAGAAAAAAATCAGCCCTTAACGAGTTTCTTGCCGGTTCTTCTCGTTACAAGGTCTCCCGCTTAGGGTTTGAGAACCGATGGCGTAGCTTCTTTGACATTCACAAGTGCTTGTAACAGCCTAGATTAAAATATTTTTAGGCATAAAATTAGTTCTGTTTTATTTTTTCACCTACTTATCTTTATCCTACCTACCTAGATGTTCATAAAATGGCAACAAATATTTACTTAATCCTTACCTATGACATTGCAGATATTTTGTCACATACAGAGAAAATAATAACTTCTATGATTTTAAATACTTAACAGTATCTTTATATTATATCGAATTATGGTCATGATAATCAACTCTCAGTAATAATAAAGTTCTTATTTTAGCTTTCTTAATCTGAAAGTACAAATAGTCTCAAAAATAGTAAAAAGAAACAATAGTATTCAAAAATAAATTTATTTAAAACCTAACGCCTATTTTGCCTTAAAAACTCTAAATAATCTCGCCCTATGTCACGCAACTCTTCCAAGGCAGCCCTGATGCCTGCGAGCTCGGTGTTTCTCACTGTCTCTCTCTCTGCACGTCCATCTTCATACTGGTACAACCTGCTTCTGACATCGGAGCCAGCAGCAGATCGTATTCTTCTGGGACGTGCAGATTGTGAGGCTGCAAAACAACATTCCAATATGTTACATTGCAGTAAATACTTAATCAATAAGTATATTTTTTGTGACAAACAATATTTTTCTTGTAATTTTAATCTCGACTGTAGTTTAGTGGTAAGACCTTCATGTATCAAATACATCCATACATACCTTCTTGTGTATCAATTTCGATCGAAATTTCGTTTTTTGTTGAATTAGAGTAGACCTGCTGGCTTTCTTTGCTTGGGTCGGCGTACTCCTCAACTTCTACATGCAAGTCCAGGCTCTGCTGCTGCAGTTGGCTTCCTTGACTGTAGGTTGATGGTCTGGATTCATTCGTCTGAAATGAATATAAAAGATTGAATGCTTAATGTTTAAGTGAAGTATTAATTTTTAATGTCTACCACAATACAAATTGTATTGTATTTTTACCTGATGGGTTAAAAAAAGTAGCATACTCACATAGAAAAATAATTTTGTAAATAAAAATCATATATCATTAAGATAAATATTTGAACATATCAAAGTTTAGAAATAGGGAAACCAAAGAATGATGAGGTACTTACTTCAGTGAAAGCTGGCACTCTGGCTCCAATTTGGCGGTCACCGAACCCATCTCCCATTATGGATAAGACTTTTAATTCCGAATGGGAGAGTTGGGGTGCCACTGATGGACCACCTCCAGTCATTGAAGCCGACCTCCGGGAATCAGCAGCGGCTTTTTTGGCCAGATGTTTTCTATCAAACCATACCTATCCAAAATAAAAGTAAATATTAAATCTTTGTCACTCACTTTTCACTGATAAATAGCTTAAGCATTTAATTATATTACTACGAATTACCTTTTGCCACTGCTGAACTGTCTTTGTGCAACCGCCCATGGAATTGAGCGTATTGCACAATTCATCCCACAGCCTCTTCGCCTGGACTTTTCCTTCTAGACTCCTCAATCTCCCGCGAGCAAGATCCCTATGCTCGTCCAGGAAATTGAGGAGTACATCAATTTGTTCAGGAGTAGCCGAACTCGTATGTGGAGCCATTATTTTACACTGAAAGATGAGATGAAAATAAATTATAGGTACCTATTATTACAAAAAAATATGTTATGGAAGTATTATAAGTGCAAAACAATTAACATTACTTACACTCTTTCTGAATATAAAACCAAATTAAACCAAATAGAAGTCTTTGTGGACCAAAGGACGCCCATATGAAGACTGCGACTTGAAATTGAAACTTTGTCAGGGAATGTGTATCGCGTTTGCAAAGTAGGCAAAGAAAAAAACAAAACATATTAATAACTCTTCACTTGAGCACACAGGAAAGAATCTCTACCTACGTCTTACACTTGAGCTTGAGAAACAAACTTAAAACTATTCAAACTTTCAAAGAATGCAAACAAAAAATCCACAAGTGATGACTGACAGCATTGTGATAATACGGATAAGTTTGGTTGTTATACGATACTATAAACACCGTTTGTTATTATTGTACACCTTAACTTAGTCGGTTAACGGTCATTGAAAGGGTTATTTTAGTGTCACTGTGATTTTCTTCGAAAACTTGTATATTTATTGCTTGTGTAAGATTTTTTGGAATAATATGCATAAAAAACCACGATTATTTTAATAAATTCGTAAAATACATAACATTGTTCGTTCCATTCGTTCACGAAAATTGTCTTTGGACTCGAACTTTGCGTGCGCGTCCGAAAATGATATAGAGTAGGGTCAGACACGAAACTTCGTTTAAATTTCGTTCGTTAACGAAGTTTCGTTTCGGAGAAAGAGAGTAGGCCTCCAGATCTACTGATTGCAATCCAGCGTCTATTTCATTTCGGCCGGATTCCCATCGATCCGGCCGGATCGGGCCGGGTCCGGCCGAATTGATCAAATCAGGATGATTTTCGGTTCAAAATGAACTGTTAGTTAATCAAGTGTCATTGTAGGTAATATAGGTAGTTTATAAAAAATAAAACATGTATATAAAATTAACTTTATTTCCAATCCAATGTTAAGATTAGACAACGAGCAAACAATTAAAATCTAGTAGTGTAGGTAACTAGTAAAATTTCAACGATGTAACTAATCTGATAACGATGATCTACAGACATGATATGCTTTGTGTATTGGGCCATGATATTTGGTTTACATTTAACTTGGCCCCTTCTATTTCTTATTTCAATAAATTCAGCATTATATTTGTTAGAAAGAGCCAAATTTCCCTTTTATCTTTCCACACAACAATACATAAACCGTTCTTGTCCATAATCGCCGCCTCGTCTGTTTTGAGTTTTGTAGTTTTTATTTCTTCTGGTATATCTTTACGGCGAGTGTTTAGAGTTCCAGTTGAATAAACTTCAATGGCTTCTAATTGTTCAGACAAAGCGACACTTTTATAAAGGTTGTCTATAAACAGGCTGTGTCCCATATTTTTGTAATTTCCAAGGAGGTGTAACACAATTTTTTTACGTGATTTGTACCACCAACTAGATCGTCTGCTGATCCCCCATATAGATGTATCCGGCATGCTATCCCTACCTGATCCGCCAACATGTAAATTTTCAACCCGTGTTTGTGTCGTTTAGCTTTTACATATTGTCGGAATTTTAAACGACCCTTCCAAAGCATCATTGATTCGTCAATGACTAGGTTTTTCTTTGTATAATACATATATTTCATGCATCTTATTATTGAAAAAATCTAAAATCCATCTTTTTTTCTTTTTTATGCAGCTTATATACGTCCCGCTGCTGGGCACAAGCCTCCTCTCATTTCTGAGAAGGTTTTAGGGCAAGGAAATGTCCGCCGCGCTGCCCCAAAGCGTGTTGGCGAACTTCACATGTCTTCGAGATATATATTTTCATTTTTTTATTTCTCAGACATGCAGGTTTCCTCACGATGTTTTCCTTCACCGCCGAGCACGTGGTAAATCAGCACTTAAAATTGCAATTAACAATTTCATTGGTGCCGGCGGGGATCAAAGCCGGGTTGTTCGCGTACTGTGAAAACTTACAGCGAACGCTAACCATTTGAGCTACCACGGCTACAAATCCATCTTACTTTTCATAACTTTGTACAGTCTGCACATCCAGCGACCTTAAAATCAATTGAAATCTATTGCGTGCTATTTTTTTTGGAAAATATGGGTTGATGGAAAAGTATATCGTTTTTCCAATAATCAACGATGCGATTCAACTTCACAAGACCCATGTGGAAAAGCAGGCCTAGAAAAAGTTCCATTTCCTGTATACTTACCTTTTTCCAAGTAACTGTTCGTGCATTTCCTGTGGCTTTTTAATTTATTTCCGTAACGATTCGTGCATATTATCAATGTTTCAAAGCAAATGTTTGTCATTATAGCTCGGAAGTAATCAACAAGATGATCTCCAAGATTGACTTTGAGTCCAGGTTCCCCACGAAACTTAAAAAGATTTTGGTTTTCTCGGGACGGGTTGCCGACGGTCCATCCTGTTTGCTCAACGGCAATGGACAGTGGATCTTCTTTGAAAAAAAAAATCAGTAGGATCGATTACGTGAGTTGGTGACATTATATATTCGTCTATAATATCATGTTGCAATATTCCGAGAAGGTCTCTATCACTTAGAATATCATTTTCGATGGTTACTTCTGCACCAACACCTTCCAAAGGATTTTTGCAAGTCTGTAATATCTTTTCCAATTCGTCTACAGAACCAGAAGTAGAGGATATGGGATTTTGAAATGGATCCATTGTTTCTAAAAAAATAAACAAAGGTACTTTAGTATTTGAAATCGCATTTATAATATTTATAAGCGCGCCTAAATCATCAACAATATTTATGTTTCAGTCCAAGCTAGTTATGCGGATAATAGGTTTTAATAATAATAAAACCTTAGACTAATGATAAGTCATCGCGCGCTCTGACTAGA